TACATAACTTCAAGAAGTGTGCAATTAAACATTCATATGAAAATATAATAATATCAATAAGTAAAAAGCACGTAGTTGGAAATTAAAGATTAGATAGAAATGATTTCTCGAATTTATTTAATAATAAAATTAAGATCTTTGCCTGATCAAGTTACAAATCTTCTATTATCTAATCTGACACATTATACATATTTATTTATACATATAATAATATTCTTTGAAATAATATCATGTCATTCAAAGAATATTTATTGTCTCGGAAAAAGCAAGAGTTCACTTACTTGAAATAATAAAAAGTGACATTTCATAGATTGTACGTCATCATTAGAATATTTTTTTTTGCAAGAATTTCTACCTGAGTCTATATTTGTTGTAAAAGCCATATTATATTCCACAATATACCACTCGATTGAACTTTTTCAAAGCTTATGTCGATAGGTACTATTTGTAGAAAATGAGCACGCGAATATATATTTTTTTTCTTTTGTAATCAATTTATTGTGTGTACAGCGCGACATGCTGTCATAAATGTAAAATTTGATTCCGTCAAAGAAAATATAACGCCAGTGATCTGTAAAATTTTCTCCAATTATTTATAAACTTTTACTATGATTGGCTGCAATTAAGTCGGAATACTCTATATATATTGTTTGCTTTGTGTTTCGAAACAAAAAGCTTCTTTCGTGATAATTTATCCGATGATTCATCAATTTATTTGTTATCTGTAAGCAAAATATTTTTCTTCACAAGAAAAAAATAATAGTATTTAAAACACTTTTATCGCAATATCATCTACAGATTTTGTTTATTTGAATTGATTTATTATTATTAATAGCATTGTTACTCAAATATTTGTTTTTTTGTATTTTTATTGTTGTCTTTATGCTGTCGTTTTTTTACGATTAAATGCAATTATAAACAATTGTTCTTTCGCTTCCATAATAATGAAAAATGATTCAAGAGATATTAATTAATCAAAAGAAGTAAATTCGACTTTTGGCTATTGTATTCTCTTATCTTTGTAAAAAGTATTGTGTTTTTTTTCATAACAAATAATAAATAATAAATGACGATAAAAAGAAAACGCAATATAAGTTTAAGTGTTAATTGCATCTTATGAAAAATGTCAATGTACATTTTACAATTATAATTATAATTATAATTTAATTCAATTTACATTATTCAATTTATTTAAAGATTCTACTAATATAGATATTTATGATGTATATAATGATTTATGATGATATGAGTAATTTGAACCTGAGAGAAATTTATGCAAAATTATTCAGTCTTGTTAGTTGTCTTTGTTACGCAAATGTATAAATAGTTGTCTGTAATGAACTTGATGTTTGACACAAAACATTACAATTACATTAGTAATATAGTAATTCACATTATATTATAACAATCCTATATGTGATTACAAAGTATTAATGTATACTTAACGGTGCTAAATTACCTCTGTTATTCAACATATAGATCGTACCTTGTTGAGAAATCTTATAACTAAGATTTGTCTGCTAATGTTTCCACAGCCAATTAAATTTCGCTGGATATAGTTTTCAAACAGACGAATATTCGGTCGATTCAAAGAGCGTATTCAGCATCAAGAGAGATGGGAGATTCCATGCTTATTATTATCGTAGAAGCGAATGCGTTTCGCTATTCCTTCGCTATCTTATTGTTAATCCTTTAGATGTCATGGAATATCCGAGACCACTTAGCGCAAATTATAGCGCAAATATATTAGGCTGCTTTTAATTTTTAAACCGTCCGGAATTAATTTCGCAAGACTGTAATTCAGAGAATGTACCGTATGGAAAAAAAAAAAACTATAACGGATTATTTCAATAAAATGATAGAAATTGAAGTATCGATTTTCAAGCTAAATATACCGCTAAATATATTACGCGCAATTTAGATTATTCTTGTGTTACATAAAGCCTTTCGCAAATACATGGCGGAAATATGCGTGCAAAATTTTTTAATCCATCCCTTTTATTTCGTTGGTCCTTTAAATTTTCCGTAACATTCGATGTGTGTGTGTGTGTGTGTGTGTGTGTGTGTGTGTGTGTGTGTGTGTGTGTGTGTGTGGTGAGAGAGAGAGAGAGAGAGAGAGAGAGAGAGAGAGAGAGAGAGAGAGAGAGAGAGAGAGAGAGAGAGAGAGAGAGAGAGAGAGAGAGAGAGAGAGAGAGAGAGAGAGAGAGAGAGAGAGAGAGAGAGAGAGAGAGAGAGAGAGAGAGAGTTCTGTCGGCATTATACGTGTAATCAATCGCGAATGCACGGAAATTAGTTTTCGGGAAAACCAAATTTATGCGGCAATTAAATTTTATTGATT